ACAAACGTATCATACATATTTTTACATCATAAGGTTAAGATTAGAGCTAGAGCTATTTACAATTTGATTCAACTCGACAAAAATATAAATTGAAAAATAAATTGGTAATATTTCAATTGGATTGGTTTTATTCTTTAAACTTTTTTTTTAAAAAAACAAATTGAATAACTGTTTTATCGAAAAAGTTATTTTTCGAAAAAGAGTTTGTTTTATTAAAGGGTATTTTTGACTTTTTGGAGTCGCCACTTAATTTTTAAGGAAAATTAAGAAAACTTTAATTTTCAAAAGACTTAACAGAAAAATCGATTGAAAATATTAAAGGGGTTCGGAATTCCTATTAGCGTCTTAGGAAGGTGTTTAAAACACCTAAGACGCTCCGCTAACTACGGTTTTCCGACGACTAACTATTTGACTATTTTGTTTTAATTTTTACAAGTCGAAGTTAAAACTTTATCAGAATCTACTTAACCATACTTTGCAACTTTAAAATATTTATCTTGCAAATTTTCCTTAAAGTTAAAACTCTCTAAAACGGACTTGAAATATTATTGTTTTAAGATTTTTGTCAAAGTTAAACTTAACTTCAAATCTAAGCAATTTTCAAAGCTAAACCTCTATTGCTTTAAAATTTCGATTTTAGTTTTTAAGTTGATAAAACAAAAGGCGTCAATGGGGGTTTGGAGTTTCCTAATCCTAAGCTAACGACATTGAAGAAAAAACAAGATAAGCAAATAGTAAAGAGAGAGAGAGAGATTCGGGTCCAAGTTTCGGATGTTGTTCACCTTGGCCGAAACTCGGACGCACCTGCTTTTGGGTTTTTGACCCATTTTGTACCTGTCCTAATCTAAACATACAAATAAGATATCAAAATAAAACAACGAGGGCTCATGCCCATTACAAAAATAAAATACATAATAAAAATAAGGTAAAGTCTTCTAGTCCGTCTTCTTTAAACTTCTTCATTCTTCATGGACTTTCGAATCTGCATTTCCGTCTTGATAGGTTGACTCGAAAGGATGAAATTAAGCCCTTATGGCTTTCTCAAGATGTGGGCAGAGATGAGAGTCCTTATCGAACTCGGACAGGTTTAGCATGCCACAAATTAAAATGAGAAGAGTAAATATATAACCCAGGGCAACATAATCGGAAGAAAGTTAACTAACTTAATGGAAAATTACACACTTTATTCATGAAAGATATGTATCAATAAATAACTCCACTAAAGGAGATTGCACAGAGGCGTATCGAAAAACTCAGCGAGACAAATTTGTAAGGCAAGAGGGAGGGAACGAAAACAGCCAACATGGCTCCACGATGATGAGTGTCATTGAGAGACACCCTCAATCGTGGACAACAGCAACGGCAACTCTGCCTAAAGGGACAGCATCCCTTTCTGCCCTTCAAATCACCGAATGCGCTAGATTTCGACATTAAGGAAACACATCATACTACCCACCATAATACAAACCTCAAAGCAAATGAAACATGTCAAGAGCTAACTAAAGACTCGCACTAAAGAAAACCGAATGAACATGCTCGAAACAACACAACGGATGCAAAGACTTCCATACAAGATGGAGCAGCAAGTTCAGAAAATCGAAGTTAACTTCTTTAACAGCCATGAATCGCAGAAACTAACCAGAACAAACCCAATAAATCGCAATAACATTCACGACAGACAGGATTAACAATAACTCAACCTAAAATCAACGACGATATTTTGCTAGAACTCGAACTTGAATCGTCTTTGAATCACAAAATCATCAAGACGTGCCACAAGTGCAACACAGACTTCGAACAATCCAAACACCATAGGCCAAATCTTAAATTTTGACGTCTCGATTCATTCTTTCAACTTGGGGTGAATGAATGAAGGATGAGACATCGAATGTTCAGCATCACTTCAAATACTACTCAATGAGAGAAAGGAAGAAAGAAAAGACATGCTCGATAAGAACGAGAACACAGAACCATCTTCGTTAAAGTATGCAGACCTCTAGACTATAACCAAACAACGTATTCATTCAAAAGAACTACTCAAGAAACGCATGAATTGTATAAACGAATAAAACAGTCTAGCAAACTCCAGCAGACATATCCCTTAAGGTTACTCCAACAGTGACAAACAATCCCAAAGATGCATAACAGAAAGCTCTCCACCCTCACCCCATCTAATCGAGACAAAAGGGAATTTATATAAAAGAAGTGTTCACCTGTTGAGGAGCAGCGACGCCGGGAAACGAGCAGTAAACAGCGATGACTCCCACCAATTGAACACACGAATGCCGGAGATGACGGAACGAATGAGCTCTTCTTATGACTCTTCGTGACAGACCTGATTTCTCTTTCCTTTTCGTCGTTTGAAGCAAACCAGAAGGAGGAGTGGAGTATTTTCTTATAAACAAACAGAACAAACCAAGACTTTCAAACCGAAAATTTCCAATCCAAGTTTCAAACCCCCGAATGAGAAGTCTAAGAAGAAAACTCAATATCAGACCAG